TTTTCAATTGATACACGTGACACCGGATGTGCGCACGCTTATTAGAAGACTTCTATTATTATTCGACAATTTATCGAATACAGGCAAACTGGACAATGTGAGAATCCTTTTGAAAATAGTGTAGCAATTTCTAGCGTCGCCTCGGAGTCGCCACTCGAGTGCAAAGGGTTAACCCTTCGCCGTACCATTTTCTCTACGAACGAAATACTTTTTTTTGAACTATTAATTATATTATATATATAATAATAATAATTATTATTATTATAATAAGAGAATAGATTGTATATATATTATAATTAGAATAATTTCTTCGAAAATAACGAAACTTCGTATTCGCGTCAAGAATACGAACATAATTCGATACCGACTTAAAAAAAAAAGAAAAAACGGAATAATGTTCATACTTAATGTATTGTTACGACAGTACGGCGAGAGGTTGATTCAGGAAAAAGAGGATGATACGAATGAAATTATGCTTTCGGTCGCGCGCCGAAACGTCGATGGCGGATTCGAACGTTCTGGTGAATTTGTTAGAACGATGTTCAGAAATATGGATAATGGAACATGGCTGTCCCATATTGATCCCGCGATCGACGTTTCGGCGAGGCAAGGGGCGGCGGCACAGCAGCTTCGTTCGCATGTTCGCGCATACAGCGAGAAATCAAAGTGCACCGTTCGCGGTGTCAACTGTGCAGCGTTGTTTACCTTTGTTTTTTGCGCTCGCGCGCGCAGAATCGCTTCTCGCGCGCAACGGCGCCGGTACAAATTATTTATTTTTAAACTTAATCGATAACAGCGAAGATCGCGGCGTCGATCGATAGCAAAGAGGGTTTATTATGTCACTGCTTGTGGCCTATATAGCACTTTTCTCTCTCGCTGCATATTAGGTCGTCCCATAAGCTCCCGAACCATTTTGTACACACAGTTTCCTTAATCCTGGTAACGAACGATCACAGAACGTTTTCATATATCTTTTGGCTTGCAGCCCGGTGAATAAGCGTAACCGTTTGCTTCGAATCTATCGTGTTTGTGTGTGTGTATGTGTACATATAATATACATATATGTATATATGTATATATATTTTTTGCGAGAGATGTACAAGAAGTGAATCAAGAAAAAGTCGAGACGTGTACGGTATGGCGATGAGAAAATGTTCAATACTGATTGCAGTGGAACGTGACTTTTTTTCTTTTCATTTTTTTTTTCTTCAACGGATTTCGTCGCGAGAACGACGAAGGGGGACCGACACGACGAAAATTATTCGGCTGGACAGTTTTTTATAGTATTTGAGCAGAATTCGTTTCGATCGCCAAACTGTTTCCGCGAACTTTCGAGGATTTTTTTTTTAGGGGTGGGGGGGAGAGCAACGATTATTGAACGGGTAACAGTCAGAAGAGTTTTTTTTCTCGGCCAACGAGCGAGACCGTTTTCGCGGCCGTGTGCTTATATCGACCCGAGTTGCTTTTTAACCTGTTGACCGGGCGCGACGAGATTTCATGCTCGTCCCTGCAAGTTCGATGACGCAACCTGATCGACCCGTTTCGACAGCAGAGAATTTACGAATCCGCTGGACTCTGCGGACGGCTCGCTCGAGCGCGCGCGACGAAAACGTTACGTTTTCGTGCGGGATTGGGCGCGAGTCGGACCTCGCAGCAGCGTCTCTCTCTCTCGCTCTCTCGTTCGAGCTAGGATGTTTGATGATCGATCAGGGGCTCGAGAGTTCGCCGTGATTTTATGGGATGACCTACTACACACACGCGCGCGCGTACACACATATGGAAGCATCGTTAACGCATTCGCCGGCGGAAATTCGAGGCGGCCGAATATGTTTGGAATCGCGATCGATATCGAACGGAATTCAGACTTCCCGTCGCACGGCCGAACGGACGAGGTTAGCGAATGCGTTAAGAAACCAACTGGACGGTCCGCGCGATCATCGTTCTCGCGATGACGCAACCGAGCTTGAAGGAGTGGGGAGGCGGGCGGTGACGGTGCTCGCTGGGAGGAACAGAACGAGAGTAACGCAACGTTTCGCGCCTCGATTACAATAGAACAACGTATATATTCGCCGAAGGAAGTCGTGAGAATAGAGGGACAAGAGCATAAGTTTTCCGTACTCTGTGTGTTCGTTTCTTTTCCTTTCTTTCTTTTTTCCTGCAATGTTTTGTTGTCCATTTTGTTGCGAGCGATTTTCACTGTCGCCTAGGATTCATTTATCTGCTCGCTTAATTATTCGTTTATTTCTTTGTTTGTTTGCTTGTTTATTTATTTATTTATTTACTCTCTCTCGCATGGATTCTCGGAGCACGACGGACCTTTTTCTTTCTTTCTCTCTCTCTCTCACACTATCTCTCTCTCTCTCTCTCTCTCTCTCTCTCTCTCTCTCTCTCTCGAGCGACACAGAGCGACAATCATTTTCTTATTATTTTTCGCCTAACTATTAGAGATCGCGAGCGCAAACGTGCACGGACGATGGATCGTGATCGATTATTCTTCGATTAATTATTCGACGGGGAACGATCGACGCGCTAATCGTGTCCCCGGGGATGATTGCAAAAACGATCGCGCCGGATGATCATCGAACAATTAACAGCCCTAAGACAGTAATCTTATCCGTCGAGAGAGTCTTAATCGCTATAGGTAATGTGTATGGTATAATGGTAGTAATGTATTTCTTTTTTTCATTCATTCATATATGCACATATATATGTATACATATAGCCTGTCGTGCGTATAGATGTAAATATATATATATATATATATATAATATACTTACGATATATTATATACATATATATACAGCAATATGTATACATATACGCACATATATATATATATTTATCTTTATCTCGAAAGAACAATGCGCTACTCTCTCTCTC